GGGAGATTTATTTCAGGAGCGAAAGGCTAGAAATGTACAAGTTCCTCACACGAAGCTGAATCTAACAAATGAGATAGCAAGACCCAATTCATACACCCGCCAACTGCTCGAGCAAATGACACTAGCAAAAGCGTATGTAGTCTTAGCAAAAGAACACAATAACCTTCATCTCGCATGGCAACTTAGTTCAAAAATAAGAACCTGTCAATCTCTACTCTCGAAAGCTGCCATGAATGAAGAACCCATCATGGAAGAAGATGCAGAACCCCTCATCACCACTTTATCATCCCTAATCTTAAAATCACAAGATCACCATTATGACATCGCAACCACAATGATGACAATGAAATCACACATTCAAGCACTTGAAGAACGGGCAAACGCAGCCACTGTTCAAGCTGCTTTTTTCGGGCGGTTAGCAGCTGAATCGGTGCCCAAGAATCTTCATTGTGTAAATGTTAAACTTTTAGCAGATTGGTTTTCTAAAAAGACAATCCGTGACTTTGTGGAAGAGAAGAAAAACTCTCCAAGATTACTCGACAACAATCTTTACCATTTCTGTTTGTTTTCCGATAACTTACTGGCGGTCAACGCGGTGGTCAACTCCACAGTCTCCAACACCGACCACCCGAAACAGCTCGTGTTCCATGTAGTCACTAGCGAACCTAATTACGCCACCATGGAAGCTTGGTTTGTGACTAACGACTTCAAAGGGTCAATGATTGAAATACAAAAAGTCCAAGATTTGACTTGGTTGAACGCTTCTTATTCCCCTGTGGTTGGAAAATTAACCGAAAACAACGCATCTTTATTAAATTATTTACGGTTTTACATCCCAGAAATCTACCCCCACCTTGAAAAAATCGTGTTTCTTGATGATGATGTGATCGTTCAGAAAGATTTAACCCCGTTATTCTCGTTGGATCTTCATGGGAATGTAAACGGCGCTGTTGAAACATGTCTGGATGGTTTTCACCGATTATACAAATACTTGAACTTTTCAAACCCGGTTTTGAGCTCCAAGATTGACCCGCAGGGTTGTGGGTGGGCTTTCGGGTTAAATGTTTTTGATTTGGTGGCATGGAGGAATGCTAATGTAACAGGTGTGTATCATTATTGGGAAGAACAAAATTCGAATGTGGGTTCGAATTTGTGGAAGTTGGGGACTCTGCCGGCTGGACTTTTGGCCTTTTATGGGCGGACTGAGCCACTTGACCGGAGGTGGCATGTGTTGGGATTAGGGTTTGATGTTGGGATTGATAATCGGCTTATTGAAAGTGCAGCTGTGATTCATTTTAATGGGAATTTGAAGCCATGGTTGAAGTTTGCGATTGGGAAGTATAAGCCGTTATGGGAAAGGTATGTGGATATGGGTCATCCTTATCTTGTTGATTGTGTTACTAGTTGACAGGTTGGTGATAGTGTAGGGCTGGAAATAGAAAATTTTGGGGTTTTTATAAGTTACATTCTTTTGGTATATTTTTGGTCGAGGGAGGAGTGCTTTTTTGTAGACATTTGAAAGAAATATATGTTTCTAAGTAGCAACCAAACAAAACAAAAGTAGGAAATGTTAAAACTTAAAATAAGTATTGTTGTTTTATAAATTAAAGTGGAGTTTGGACCAACATGCAAAGAAAATGTATAATGAATGGTTAAAAAAAAGTTAACATGACACAGTGTATAGTTAGCACGAACCCATTATACTACAACGAAGCCAACTGTGGAAAGTTTGTTCCACTTCCACACGCCATCCTCATGGACTAATAACTGAGAGAAAGGGCATTGCATTATACGGAAAGATTAGAACTTATTGATTATGTTCTCTCTGATCGGTCATAGAGTGGGGCATTGTCCATCGCAAGTTGTTTATAAAAATTAGAAATGTAGTTAAGGGCTTAAGGGCTTCCTAAAAACATTTGTATTTAAGTTTTATCCTTAATCTTATTGGATAAATTGTCTTCAAAATTTATAAATTTATCAGGCTCGTCGGTGTGCGGCAACCTCAGCGAACACCGGGCCATGCCCTCGGCATGCCGAGCTCAGCTAGGCAACTCGGCTAGTTCTTACCGAGGAGAGAGATTGTTTTGTTTAGAAAATTGAGCTCTTGCCCACCCTTTTGTTACCGTTCTTTTTTTAAAAAAAACCCTACACTTTTATCCTATATAAACACAACAATTTATCATATTTTAAACCACTTCACCATCTTCATTTTTTTTCATTCAAACACATCATTTTTTTGTCAAAAAAATGGCTTCCCCTTCCAACCTAAGACATCAGGAAAAAAAAAAAAAAAAAAACAAAACACACACACACACAACACTCAAACATCTCACTTTCTTCTCCAAACTTTATTCAGAATCAACCTATTTATTCTCCACCAAATTTACACTTTGGTAGAGTATACTACCAATTTCAAGGTCAAGTACAATAGCAAGACCAAACATCAATTCTAAAATCAACCACAAATTCAAAGGCAACTCTAATTTCAAAACCAATCACAAATGAATTTTTTATCCCAAATGGACAATGACTTAAATCTATTTGATGTATTCCCGACTCACCAATGAATTTAGAAACCCAAACCCAATTTCCAAGTCAAGCAGAACCCGAAGATGTCCTTGGAATGGAATCTGAGCCATAAGAGAATCACCCACAACAACCAAAAAAAAAAAAGTGGAAGGGCGGTTCCAAAGCAATGGACATCGGCCGAAGAAAAGGCATTAGCTTGTGCTTGGGTGGATGTTTCCAAAGATTCAGTGATCGGAAACAACCATGATTGTCCAACATTCTTCCGAAAAATCACGCGACGTTTTTCTCAACAAGATGAATCTTGGTGATTACCAGAAAAAAGACCAAAGTTTATTCGAAGTGGCGAAATGTCAACAAAGTAGTGACAAAGATTAACGGTGTGTTTTTGAGTGTGACACGCAATGACAAAGTGGTGCAAACGATGAAACCATTTTGCAAAAAGCTCTTGAAATTTACTGGAATCAAAAAGTGGCTTCGTTCAAATTTCTACATGTTTGAAACATTGTAAAATTGTCAAAAAAAAAATGACAAGTTGTCGGCTCTTCCAAAACTTTTACGAGTGATTCTTCAAAAAGAACCAAAACATCAAAAACAACACATAGTCAATCATCTAATGTGCATGTTGGAATTGACATCAATGAAGAGGATCCTATTGAGGTTCCAAGAGCCACTCGTCCCATGAAAAGAGACCGAACCAAGTAAAAAGGGAAAGCAGCAGCAACTAGTTCCGGTGACATCGATCAACTAACAACATAAATGAACAATTCAAAGTTGTCCTTAGAGCGATACTTGAAATTCACACGAGAGAAAGACAAAACTCATGTCATGTCCATCTTAATAAGACCCACAAACAAGCTATTCAAATACGAACCGAATATGGTGATAAAAGCCAAAGAGGAGTTTGCAAAAAATATAACATTTGCCTTTCGTTTTTTTTTTTTTTTTTAATTTCTTTTAATTTTCATAATTTCGTTTTTTTTACATATCTAGGTTTGTAATCTGAATTTCTATGTTTTTTTTGGTGTGTTGTATTTTTATTTTATGTTGAATGAAATTTAAGTTTTTTTTTAAAAAATAATATGTTTGAATTTATTTATTTTGTATATTAATTAAAAAATAACAAGTGTGACAATCTGCGCCATGTAAATGACAAGTTTTGGCTAAAATATGGTAAATATAACGTGACGTCTACGTGGACCGTGACAAATACAACACCACGTCCACTAGCCTTAACAGGAAGGCATTTTCTTTCCTGAATTTCATGTCCAAAGAATCAAATTTTGGTTGATAAAGTTTCATCTTCATTTTATAAATCAACCATTATTTTTTTTATGGTTCGGATAGTAAATACTAAACGTTTTAAATGTCGATCAATCTTTTTCCCTTAAAAATACAATACATTGTCTGATGTCAAAAAGTACTAAAATATAAATTTTATTAGAAATACTCGAATTAACTTTTGGTTAAAATATAAAATAAGAGTTCAAAATTATAATAATAATAAATATTATCAAATCTAAGGTCATTTAGTTTGCAAAAGGATAGTTGATTTTATAGGTTTTTATGTAGAAATGTTTTATTATTTTGAAATTCTTTTGATAAAGTTATATTTTTCTTTTAAACAAAAAAGTTTCAATTATTTAATTTTACATAATGATTTATAATTTTCTATTAAAATAAACAAAGATTTTTTTTGTTATTTTGGAAAAAATATTAAATAAAGAGACTTTTCTATTCAAGTTCTTTTTAGGACTTCATTAAAAATATTTCTAAAATAATGAGACTTTTATATATAAAACTCTAACTTTATTTACACAAAATTGAAATGTAATCATTTCAATTATTATTATTATTATTATTATTATTATTATTATTATTTAAAAGGGTATTTAAAAAGACTACAAAATATATCACCAATAATGTTCACATATTTTTATTATATATTAATTATTTATTATTTGTAGAGCGTGGACTTTAAATTGGTCTATTTGGCCGGCATTTTTTTTTAATTATTTTTATTACAATTTTATTTTGAAATATATTTATGTATGATTTAGTAGTATTCTATTGTTTATCAATTATATCTCAATAAATATTTATACGATTCATAAATTTATTATTATTATTATTATTATTATTATTATTATTATTATTATTATTATTATTATAATACAATACTTTATTTCTATTATTATATAATCGGTTGATAGTAAGAAAATTACAAAATTGATCCATCTGGTTTGTTATTCATTATTTATTTTTTCATATTTTCCTGTCATACCCAAATATTTCCATGCTGTTCATCATCATGCTTTTCAAGGTTTTCAGTTGATAAACATTTTCATGCTTCATCACTCGTTTCTAGATATGAAGATGATTGATGTTCTTCATTATTTATTTTTCATGTTTTACCAAACAAAATCCAAACTTATAAAAGTTAGAAAGAAAGTGTACAATCTTAGGGGTCATTTATGTACTTTTATTCAGAATTGCTAACGGCGGATAAGAAGGGAAGTTTTGTCCCTAAGACACTCTGTCTACGATTGTCCTACGATTTCTTCATCATGTCGACTTCTCCACCTCTTATCACAAAACCAGAATCAAAAGAAGACGCAGACTACAATAAAATCTGCGAGGAGTACAAACACCTGATAGAAACAGTACCCAATGGCAATGGATGGATGGAGAAACACCTATACAGCTACAATGGCTTCTGGTTTCACCCCAACTACATCAAAAACCACTTGCTTCTTCCCATCTACTTCAAATCTCAACCCACCGACATCTTTTTAGCCTCCTTCATGAAGGCCGGAACCACCTGGCTCAAAGCCCTCATGTTCGCTACCATTAACCGCCACCGCTACACCATCTCCGACCACTATTTACTCCAACATGGCCCACAGGGTGCCTTCCCTTACCTCGACATCGAAAGCTACCCCCCTACTGACTTCACCCACTTGCCTGCTCCCCGAATGTTCGCAACCCACTACCCTCGCACCCTCTTGCCGCCGTGCATTACTTCCTGCAAGTTCGTCTACGTCTGTAGGGACCCAAAAGACGTTTTGATTTCAAAATGGCATTTCATGAGCAATCAAAGATCGAAAGATCTGCCTCCCTTCTCGTTGGATGAAGCGTTTGAGCTTTTCTGTCAAGGGATTTCGGACTTCGGACCATTTTGGGAACATGTTCTGTCATACTGGAGGGCGAGCCTGGAATCTCCGGATAAGATTCTGTTCTTGAAGTACGAGGAAATGATGAAGCAGCCGGAGGTGGCTCTGAGGAACTTGGCGGCGTTCATGGGGAAGCCATTCACGGCGGAGGAACTGGAGAAGGGGGTGGTGGAGAAAATTGTGGAGCTTTGTAGCTTCGAAAATTTGAGCAATCTGGAGGTGAACAAGAAAGGTGTGGTGAAATTTGGAAAGGTTTTCGAGGTGGAGAATCGGCTTTTTTTTAGGAAAGGCGAAATCGGAGATTGGAAAAACTATCTGAGCGTGGAGATGAAGCAACGCATCGATGAAATTACCAATGAGAAGTTTAAAGGTTCTGGGTTGATCCTTGACGCAACCACTTGATCAATGATCAGTAAACAAGTTTATTACTCACTCAGGGTATATCCTTGTTACGTGCATCTGTTTCATATCGGCCTATGTTTTTCAAAGATAAATATATACGTCAGTTTTAATTAGATGGGTTAAAATAATAATAATAATAATAATAATAATAATAATAATACTAAAAACGAAGAGAGAAAGAAACTAAGGACAAAAAATAAAAGAAAGAAACGAAAAAAGATTCTTTTGTTTTCAGGAGTTCGAGAGAAATAGAAATAAATTAATTGTTTTGTTTTTCTTTTAAATAGGAAATGAGGAGAAAATCATTTTTTATTTTATTTTATTTTTTTAATGAAATTCAGAAATATCAATTTTTTTTACTTTCCTTTTATTTCCACTTATTTCTTTTTTTTCCTTGTTAAATTGAATCGGAAACAAAATATAAGTTTTGTACTCTCTTATTTTTTTATTCTTCTATGCTACTATTTTCTAAAAACGGAATTTTTTAAATGTGGAATTTTTTGTTGTGACTTGAGATGCTTACGTGAGATTGAACTTTGTGACTTTTATGCTATTATTTTTTAAAAACAATTTTTTTCAAGTTTTGCAGCTCACACTGACGTGAGATTGAATTGTTGACGTGAATTTTATGTTATTATTTTTTAAAGACAAAGTTTGATGGTTTTATTGGCTTGTATTGAATTATTTAGGTGCCGATTTTTGCGCTATTATTTTTAAAATTTTTTTTTTTTTTTTTTTAAGTTTGACGGTTTTTGCTACCTTGGCACGCTACATGATATGGAGTTGGTGGTGTGATGATTTTTGTGCTATTTTTTTTTTATAACAAGGTTTTTCAAGTTTGGTGGTTTTTGCTAAGTTGGCACACCTATGTGAGATTGAATTGTTGATGTGGGGACTTTTATGCTATTATTTCTTTTAAAAATAATATTTTTCAAGTTTAGCGGTTTTTATTGACTTGTCATGCTTACATGCGATTTAATTTTTGAAGTGACGACTTTTGTGCTATTATTTTTTTATTAAAAGCAATGTTTTTTAATATAACACCCTTTTTCCAGTCGTTTCTTAATTTGAGGTTGTGACCCAAAAATCAATCATCTTAAGGCTTCGGACTTTGAGGAAAGAGAAGTCTAGACCCATTGGAAGTGGATAATATATATTATGTGATTAAAGAGTTAGGTTTGTGCTTTGGAGCCCAATGGTATAATGCTAAAAGTGATGTTTCAGACCTTTCATGAATTAATGATTTAGGTTTGGAAGGTTTTAAGCAAAAAGATAGTTGATAGGATTGTAGGGATTTTCATTACATTTCAAAGCATATAAAGAACGCTGAAACGAACTTGGGGCGTAGAAGTTATGACTGTTAGAAATTAGGTTGGTTTGGGCTTTGGCCTAGGGTGATGGGCGTAAAGGGAGTATGTTTGGGCGTACAAGACAAGGTTGGTCGCGAAGCTTCTTCCCAGTACGTTGGGCATACGTCAGTCAGATGCAACCCTAATATTTGGGTCTTGGGCCCTATTTAAAGGCCTTAACTCATTCTGTAACGCTTGGCTCCGGTATAAGTTTATTTTTTCAAATATTTATAATTTCCTTTGGGGACTCGACGAGTTAGAAGCTTCAACTCGTCGTGTCCAGAGAGTTACAGTCGCAGATATTGATGAACCAACTCGACGAGTTGGGGTGCACCAACTCGGCGAGTTGGCGGCTAGGAAGGAAACACTAATTTTTAGGGTATTGTACCCTATTTAAAGGCCTTAAGCCCTTTGGTTGGCCTCCTTATCAGCCTCCTCTGTCTAGAAAACCCTAAAAGTGTGTATCAACGTCCTTGTGAATGTATGAGCTTGTGGAGGGCCTTAAGTGTTGATATGTTGCACATTTTTGGTGAATCTTTGAAGTGGAATGTGCATAGCTTGGAGAGAAGACGTAGATCCAGAATCTCCTCACTCATTTCAGTCTTTTCAATGTATCAAGCTTATACCTTGCTTTGTTATTATCTAGATCCCTTTATTTGGAGTTTTATCTTGATTTTGGACTCTTGGTTGAGTTGTCCAAGAAGTTAAGGTTTCCAAGGGTTGTTATGTTAGACCTAGCTATTTTATGCTCTCCTTTGGCTTAAAGTTGCAAGATCTACTAGGTCCTAGGTCCCATTTATGCAATAAGCCCTTTATGAATCCCATATTTAGTCCAAGGGTTTCTTTTTAGCATGCATGGACGTAACGTTGGAAGCTTTACGTGATTTTCCAGCCTTAGGAGGTCAGATATATATATATATATATATATATATATATATATATATATATATATATATATATATATATATATATATATATTGGGACTATGTTTTGAGAGTTTAAGGGCTTAATGGGTTAAGCTTCACTCTAATGAGTCTGGGGTTTGGGGTTGACTCGTTTTGGACGGTTCCTAAGGGTAAAGTTGGAAACTTTACCCTTCTAGACATCATTTTGAAGGAGATTTGAGAATTAGAGTTCCTAGATTCGATGGAAGCAGCTTTATGCATTAAGTTGTTGGATTTCTGGCTAGCTTGGCGAGTTCATTAGTGAACTCGGTGAGTTGATGGGAGTTTTACCGGTCTATGCAGTTAATGGAGAAACTCGACGAGTTGAAGGACGACTCGGAGAGTTGGATCAACTCGGACCATTGACTTTGACATTTGACTTTAGTCTTTGACCAGGTTTTACTTTAAGGGGGTTTTAGGGTATTTTGAGTTGTATTTGAGGAATTTTTTCCGTTTAGGGGTTAAGTTGAGCTGATATTTGGAGTTGGGACCTAGTCAGCTATCGTTCAGTATTTGAGGTGAGTCTTCTCACTACACTCATGGGTCGAAGGCACCAAGGCCGACCCATTAATGGTTATGATATGATTTGCATTGCAATATGTAATTTCTTGCTATTGGATTTATATGTGGACTTATGTGTAGACCAGGGGAGGAGCCCATGGCATTTGGCAAGACCATGGGAGGAGCCCATGGCTCAGATATATAAGACCGTGGGGGTAGTGCATGACATTCCAATGAAAACCATTGAGGGAATCCATGGCAAACTTATATTTATATGTGTACATTGTATTATATGATTATATGATTTGTGTGTTTTGGGCACTGTTGTAAAAATTTCGATTAGGTCCAGATTAATCTTCGATTAATCCCTAGGCTCTACTCAACTGGTTAGAGGGTGCCTAGCGATTAATCCCTACATGCATAATAAGTGAAACAGTATAAAACGATGAAATTTTAACATTTTGAAGAAGTTTTATCTCAATGAAAACTATTTGAGGCATGATTAGTGTTGTATTAATCATATTAACCTACTTTGTTATGAAATTAATGGTCCCTGATTAATCTCCTCCTAGCCGATTAATCGCTTAACCCTAGTCCACCGACTAGCTAACGTCGAGCGTTTTTTACAACCTTGGTTTTGGGAAACTCGCTAAGCTTGTGTTTACAGTTTTATTGAATGTTTCAGGTACTTCTATCGATAAGGGCAAGGGTTTGGCTTGATGGCACGACGTGCATTCTCTAGTGTTTTCATATTTAGTTTTCATACTCAGAACCTTAAAATAATATAGCCATGTATTGGGATTTTTGGTCACCTTGTGATTGATATTTATGAAATTAAAAGTTCAAAAAATTTCTCTAAAATTTGAGCTGTTACATGTTGGTATCAAAGCCTTGGTTTAAGGGATTCGAACACACTTCTAGGTGTGTCAAAACTCAAACTGAGGAAATGGTAACAAATCGATTTTCAAAAAGAAACCAAAGTTAAATTTCCTGAAATCGATTTTGTAAGAAAAAAGGGAGAATGCAATGTGCGTAATCGACCGAGCTCAAGTAAGTGTTCCCAATGTTTTAGACATGCTATAGTATATATGGAAGTTAAAGTTGTATGGACTATTTGCTAAGTGTATGCTTTCAAAGTTGTACATGCTTAGGATTGCATAGCCCAAGAATGAGGGAATCTGCCTTATTCTTGTTCCATGTTTGGTTGTGGTTTAGGGTAGAACCTTTATTTGACAGTTTATGTGATTCTCTTTGTGTATAACTTGCATGCATAGGGCAACCTGCTATGATTAATCTAAATTTCTAGTTTGGTGAAGGTTGAGAATCATAAAGCAGTCTAGGATCTGAGTTAATGTTGTATTTATAAGTCATGATTTGTGATTGAATGATTTTTGGGTATCAATTATGGCCTTGGGGAAGGTACAGGTAGGTGTGGAAGGTAGTATTGGGCTCGTACTACTGAAAGCACAAGACCTGTACCTGAACCAATGACAAACCGGATAGTTCTTAGGAGTTTGGTGAGGAGGAATCTCTTTCAAATTCCTTATCTTGGTTAATTGTAATATTTTCAGTTGAGGATGGTGATGATCACGCAAGGTTCAGGTTCAGGATCAGGTTCAGGCTCTGGTGTAAAGCCCATTGATGAGAGGCTACGCGATCATATCGTTATCGAGGTTACTTGTGGCATCCTTGACACTATTACTTTTGAAATTCATACTATGATAGTAGACATATCTTTAAGTGTTATGTAGTAATAACAATGTAGATCCAAGAGTTCTTGAAGCTTGAAAGACCTTTGGTAGCAAGCGCCAAATGTGTCACTCCTCTAATGATTCACAAACAAACATAACGACCATGGAAAACTATATATATATATATATATATATATATATATATATATATATATATATATATATATATATATATATATATAGAGAGAGAGAGAGAGAGAGAGAGAGGAGAAGACTAAATTTCATCCAAGGCACTTATAAAGAAGTCATGGATGAAATTCTACCCTAAAGAGGGTTTATATAGGTGTTAGGAAGGTATGGATAATGTAGGTATCTCTAAGATAATCCTAACCCTTAACTTCCACCCTAAGGCATCCAAGTCTCCCTTAAAGCCTAAGAAACCCTAGAGGCACTCTAGATTTTGTTCCTCCCCCCCCCCCCCCTCCCTCTTTATGAAGGTTCTAGAATTGCACAAT